TGAGAGTTTGGACATGATCTTGCATCTCAGTTACTGCAACATACTTTTCTTTGGCCTTGACAAATGCAATCTTGCCCCACTCATATCCATTCAGAACACTGCTGCAAACATCACTTTCCTTGCCCCCACTTTGACCATGTCACCCCTCCCTTTTAACCCCTGCGCTGGCTCCCCCTTCTCTATCGCATCAAACATAAGCTATTTGTCTTTACTTTCAAAGCTTTTCACAGCCTGTGCCCACCTTACCTGTCATCTATCAGAAAGTCAACTCTCACCTCCCATCGGCCCATGACGAGACAGCCTGCACTGGCCACTTGTTACATTTTCAAACAAGCACCTTTGTGCTTTCTCCCAGGCTGCATCTCACCCTTGGGAGGTGCACTCCATAAACACTGACAAAACTAACTCATTATCTTCCTTCAAAGCCCTCTGTGATGCCTACAAAAGAACTGACAACAGTTAGATCACTGCTGTGTCAAAACACTGCCTATCATGCTGACCAATAGTGTCTCCTGGTTTTCTTGTATTTTGCCATCAGTCTGTGTCTCCATCTGTTGTCTCTTAGCTTACAATCTAGCATAAGCTCTTTGAGGCAGGTTCTGTTTTCCTTGTTCTGGTTTGTACAGCACACAATGGTGTCTCGGGCCAGGTCTCATAGGCACTATGCTAATACAAACAATATAACAAAAATGTTTCAGTATAGGGTATAATGCTGACAGTTGGGAGACTTGAGTTTAGAACAGAGGTGGGCAAACTACAGGCAGCAGGCCACATGAGGCCTGCAGGACCCTCCTGCACAGCCCCGGAGCTCCTGCCCGGGAGGCTAGCCCCCGGCCCCTCCCCTGCTGCCTCAGCTCTCTGCGCCTCTGACGCAATGCTCTGGGCGGTGGGGCTGCGAGCTCTTGCCAGGCAGCGCAGCTACAGAGCCGCGGCCTGACCCGGTGCTCTGTGCTGCGCAGTGGCATGGCTGGCTCCAGCCGGGCGGCATGGCTGCCTGTCCCGGTGCTCTGGGCGGCGCGGTAAGGGGGCAGAGAGTTTGGATAGAGGGCAGGGGAGTTTGGGGTGGTGGGCAGGGGGCGGGGCTGTGGATAGGGATTGGGGTGGTCAGAGGGCAGAGAACAGGGGGGGTTGAATGGGGGCAGGGGTCCCAGGGAGGCAGTCAGGTATGAGAGGGGGGTTGGATGGAGCGGCGGGGGGCAGTCAGGGGCGGGGGATCTGGGGGCAGTCAGGGGACAGCGAGGGGTGGATGGTGCAGGGGTTCTGGGTGGGCCATCAGGGGACAGGGAGGGTTGGATGGGGCAGGAGTCCTGGGGGAGCGGTCAGGGGGTGAGAAGCAGGGTGGGCTGGATAGTGAGCGGGGGCCGGGCCATCCTGCCTCCCCTCATCGGCTCTCCATACAATTTCAGAAACCCGATGTGGCCCTCGGGCCAAAAAGTTTGCCCGCCCCCAGTTTAGAAGGGTATTCTATACTGGTAGAGGTATGGTGCAGTGATGTTTTCAGTCTGAAGGGAGAACAAGATAAATAATTTCATTCATTCCAGCTAATATAATAAAGTAACAATTTCTCATAATAAGGACCAACTACATACTGCTCACTTTTGCTAGATGACCCACCTTTATCTTCTCCACTTGGATATTAAACTAATGTTCTGTAACATACATCTCCCTCTCTTGTTTCTGCCCTGTTATCCTAACCCTGTATCACCCTGCCGATCAGCACGCTGGCCAAAATTTTCAAAAGTGACTGGAGACTTTGGTGGCCTCACTTTTTGGTCACACACCTTGACACACCTGAAAAAGGCAAAATTTTCCAAGAGTGTTGGTCACCCCACCTTCTGGAAATCAGGCTCTATTAAGGAGTGAAGTCAAGGACCCAAAAATTGAGATGCCCAAACCACTTTTGAAAATGTAGGCTACAAGGAGCAAACAAGGAAGAACAGCAAAGCTGTGACTAGTCAACAGTTAAGTGAGTCCACCATCAAACAGAAAATTAGGAAGAAATACAACAAAGTTTTCATATATTGTGTAAAAATGGGTTTGGCTTGCATCATCTCTAAGGTTTCAATTTCTCAAACATACTACCACATGTAATGCTTACAGCAGTAAGCATTCTCATGGAAATCCAGTAGTAAGCATTTGCAAGATTTGTCCAAAGACTACATTAAACTTCTGGAAACTCTCTTTACTATTCAAACCACCAAGACACAACACTTTAATAAACCATTTAGAAACTGAAGAGTGCAAAAAAAGGTGAAACCAAAAGGAAGATTTAAAAATAGTAAAACATATGCCTGCACGTAGCTCATACTAGAACCACAATAGTAAACTAAAGCTGTAATTGCTTCCACAAAAATTATACTGAAATTTTGCTACAGTGGCATTTGAAAGGGCGTGGTGCAATATATAAACAAAACAAGAGCAATGTTTATAATTAACGTGTAATTTATGAACAGACAAGCATCATAAACGTTTACAATTTTTGCCGATGCGTAAAAGAATGGGGTAATCAATATAACTGCAGAACTACTAGAAAATACTGGTCAAATGAATGCATTGCACATACTTTAAAATACAAAAGAGGACTAATGTTGCTTAAATTAGACAGTAGCACCCATATTTGCATTTTTAAAAAAGACTGACAGAGGAACAAGTTAACTCAAGAACTATGCCATATACTGTGGCTGTTCTCATATTGTCCCCTCTCACTCCTAGGGTCTTTACCTGTTGGCTGTACAGATATCACGTACAAAGGAATTAAGTAATTAAGAGAAAAGGGATAAGGGACATCTCACACAACTGCCTCTGTCCTGATGGGTCCTAGTTTTTTTCCCAGGGGCTTGACTCCTCTCCAAATAATGCAGAGGGGGTAGAAAGGACCCACATACCTGTCTCCATCACTTTCTATTTCCATTAAATTAAGACTAGTACAGAAAGTAAACCCCTTTGGAATTGGACATCTGCTGCATAAAACACATTCATTCTTATGCTGGATTATTTTTATGTTTGTACTGCCTTGAAAAAATAATAAAATGTCACTTTTGTGGAACAAACAGACCAGCTGGGAAGAGAAATTAGAATGTGAGTTCTTCAGAAATGGTGGTATAATCCCTTCCAGAAGTAGTACAAATACGAAAAATCTTTGGTGTGGTTGAGGGGTAACACAGCAGATAATTAAAGTTAACTTAATGCACAGCAAACATGCTGACACTAAGGGGAACTGTCAAAGATGACCACCCACCATTTATTTTATAAACGTCTCAAGTGTCAACCTTTCCTCATACCCTCAAGGCAGGGCAATTACAATAATGGGGAACAATTACTGCAAAAGGTAACTAGACAGAGACTGCACAGGACCTACAAATCAAGAGAGAATATAGCAGGGAGTGGCAGGAAAACAAGATTAAAAAAAACAACGAGAGCCTTGATAAATTAGAACGTTTGTATCCCCAACCTACTCAAGCTGACTGTGGGTTTCCCACTGTAATAAGGACAGACACACTGTCCTTCAGAAGAGAGACAGTCCTCAAGTTTTCTCCAGAGATTACAGAGGTTACAGTTGACCTGGTGATCAATACAATGATCTATGAAACACGGCCAGAATGGAATCAGATTCCACAAGCTGTGTGAGTTCTATTAAGAACACACATCACTTTAGAGCATAAGCTGGAAAAGAATCACACAGTTGGAGCCTCTTGACTACTTCTCCTGTTTACGCTCAGAGTGCTGTAAAACCTCAGTCTCCCTTTGGCAGACTCTAAATTCTACTTGAATGGCGTCAAATCCTTTGTTTGGGACCTTGCATCTAGTCTACAAGAGAGCGATGCAGAAAAGGGTACTCAAGGCAAATGACTGAAGAATGGGTTTGTATAAGTGTACCTACAGGCCAGAAATCAAATAAGCTGCATCACCCTCCATGACAAGAGAACTGCTTTAACTTCAGGACCCACACGCACACATATGTAACAGCTCAAGACCCAGGGCGCTGCACATCAGACTAGGGAACAGTACTGGAGAAAAATGAATCTGTAGCCTACATAGCACTTCAAACAATCTGGAAAGGGCACTACTCTACCCTGGTTTTGCCCATTGAACATGATGGGAACTGGATGGCTCACAGAGAAGATGGTCACACAGGGTGTGCATATTCTGCACCAATAGCTTTATTCCCATGGGTCCTCAGTGACTTTACAGAGTTATATGATGGCAAAGATGGACACCAGGGTACTATCTCCAGGACAGTCCAAGTGAGTGTCCAGATAGAACGTTTCCAGACCCACCCCCCCTTCCATGTTCAAAGTGAGCCCCACCATTTTGGGGCCATCCCAAGAGAGCGTCAATGTGACTGACGCTGTCCTGACTGGAGTATCCAGCAGCGCCACAATGGAGCCAAAGCACCAAGCCTCTCTGAGGCAACTGTCCCAGGGCTTTGCAGGAGGCTCCCAGGCTCCTGCTCTCCATCCCCACCCCTGTGAAGAGCAGGAATAAAAGACTGAGGCTGCTGATTTTGCTTCCCCAGCAGCAGCAACCCAGGGATAGTCACAAGCTGCTTCCTTCCTCTCGCTCTCTCTCGGCGGGGGGAGAGAGAAGGAAGGAATCACAGCCTGGAAGCCCTGGGGCGGGAGCCTGCAAAGCCCCTGCTATTGCCCGTCCCCGGGGCCCCTCGCCAGCAGCAGCCCCGCGCCCCGGGGTGGGGCGGAGGACACTTGCCCCCCAGCCCAGCTGACGCCCCCAGGCTCCCTCCCGCACTTGCCTTGAGCTGGGACTTGGAGACCTTGCCGCTCCGGTCCAGGTCCAGGGCGGTGAAGGCGTGCCAGATGGCCTTGAGCAGCTCCTCTTTCAGCCCCCCCATGGCCAGCCTGCCCCCAGGCCGCTGCGCCCCAGCCGCACGCTCCGCCAGCTCCAGCGCCGCTGCGCCCCAGCCGCCCGGTCCCCTGCTGCAGCTCGCATCACTCCACCCCTCTCCGCCGCCGGCAGCCAACCAGGCCCAGCGGCGCGGGGCAGGGCTGCGCCCTCCGGGGCAATAGGAAGTGATTGAGCCCTGGGCAGCTGCAGGCTGAGGATCGTGCGCGCCCCGCTCCACCTCTCCCTGACCCCTCGCATAAAGCAGCCCCAAGCTGGGCCAGCCCCTGCTCCCGGCACCCCTCCCCCCCGCAGCGGGCTGGAACCGGCCCCTGGCAGGCGAAGTCCCCCCGGCCCTGAGCTGCCCGCGGGGCCGCACGGCAGGCGAGGGCCCGTGGGTAATGATCACAGTGAAAGGTGAGGCCCCGATCCTGGCAACGCTCCCAGCCGGGGCTGCGCGCAGGGGCGCTGTGCGGGGAGTGACGCTGTCCTGGGGCAGAAGTGGTTGCAGGCTCAGGGCCTTGTTTTCTGTAATGTCTCTAAAACGAAACCTGTAGCCCCCAAATGCTTTACAGCAGGGGTGGCCAACCTGTGGCTCCTTGTATAGGCACCGACTCCGGAGCTGGAGCTACAGGTGCCAACTTTCCAATGTGCCCAGAGGGTGCTCACTGCTCCACCCCCTGGTTCTGCCACAGACCCTGCCCCCCCTCCATCCCTTCCCGCCCCCTCCCCTGAGCCTGCACCGCCCCCCCCCCCACCTCAAAACAGCTGGTGCAGGCACTGATCCCTGGGGCTGCCAATGGCTGGGAGGCGCTGGGAGCGGGGAGCTAACTTGGGGCTGCTGACCTATTACTGTGGCTCTTTGGCAATGTACATTGGTAAGTTCTGGCTCCTCCTCAGGCTCAGGTTGGCCTCCCCTGCTTTATAGGGTCAGACACTGACCCCTCCTAGGGCACAAGTACCTGCATTGCAGGTATTCTGCCTTGTCCCCTGGGACTGGTCGTGGGTACCTTAGTGAGGTGTGCTGGTGCCCTCCATTCATGCCCTCTGCAGCACAGCACATACAAGCATGGATACTACGTGCATGCATATAGCTGTATTTTAACACGTTCTTTCTACCTTACAGAAGACGGCACATTTTGAGGTTAAGAATTAAAAATTGTACAAGGCAACCCTGCACCAGGCCATTGCCTCAGACATCCTCACTTGGTCCCTTAAGGTAATGAGTCCCTTCTCCATAGAAGGGACCTATTACCCTTATTCACCAAGGACACTTGCTCCAACAAAGCACCTGATCCAATATGTGTAACTATTAGCAGGTGAGTAGGATTATTCACAAGAGTAAATTTAAGCATATGTGGAAGTGTTTTTAGGAGTAAGGCCTTCAAGCTAATAAGGGAAAATCTAATAATTTGGGGGCCTGACCCTCAGGAATGTTTATATGTTTTTAAATGAGTGTTTCCAGTGGAATTTAAAAATAAATCATGGTAATGTTAGTATGGGGGGTCCCTCTAACAACACTGATGAGCACCTAATGCTTTGTCTCAAATTGGCCTTATACAGATTTCAGTGTACCACCAACAGGCAACTCCCTCTCCTAAATTAGTATTTTAAAACAGCCCTGATGATTCCACATGGCTTTGTCTGACCTTTACATACACACTATCTCTATAGGGCATGCAACTTTTGCTAGTCGCTTGAGTGGAATTTGAAATGAGATTGCGAATCAATGAGAAATATGGTGGCAGTTCCAGGCAGCTCTAGCAGGACAAGCTTTTGGATTAACAATGGTGATATTGTCTGAGGAAGCCAGTGGTAAATGGAATATAAGGAGGGGAGAGTAGAAAGAGACAAAGTCAGTGAGGTAGGCGGAAATAAATCCATTGGTGGTTTTAAAATAAGGACATTTTTTATGTGGATCCTGAAATAAACAAGAAGCCAATAACGTTGTTTGATCACATTTTTTTATGTCTGAGAAGGGAAAGGTAGCAGCATTCTGCACTTGCTAGCATCTGGAGAGACTGGATTTGCAGAGGCTAAAGAGAACGGCGTTGCAATAAGCCTGGCAAGACGAAATGAAAGCATGGATGGAGACGAAGCTCTGTGGCAACAATGCAGTGTTGTTTGAGGGGATGATAGGCAGAACTGCAATCAAAGAAGGATGAGGCATGCTGAGAGTCTGGAATAATGCCAAGGTATAGACAGCTGAGACAAAGTGTGAGTCAAGGAAGAAGGTGGAGGTTCTCTTTATTTTCTTCAAAGGGGTAAGGGAAAGCATTATTATATAATTTCTGTGACCTCATTTATTATGTTTATCCATATGTTACATTGTGGCTATGCATGAGTGTCTTTAAGGAACCGTCTCTAATGGCACTATGCCTCTGCCAAATATGTACACAATGAACCACTTTCTTTTCTGGAAATTGTTCTCGACTGCGTACATCATTCTCACAGAAATAAACAACAACTTACATAGATATCGTGTATTTCACTCCAAAGGGTCTAAAATCACTTAATAAACTGAAATGCAAACTGTAAATAGGGCTCGTGTTATTGCTTTTCCCACAGCTGAAATGCAGCTACTTCTGGGGCAAAACTGAAACTGAATCTTCTCCCATGAAGTCAGGGGAAAGATTCCACCCGCTACAATGGGGGCAATTTTGTTCTTGTAAAAAAGCTCATTGTGCCAAGAAATTGACTCCATGTCTTATAAAACAAGGTGTGTGCGGATCACAGCAGGGGCGGCATTGCAGTATGTAGAAATCTGCCAGCCCATCCAGAATGGACCCTGCTGACAAACGGATACCGAGTATCAAACCTTGAGTAGCCCTAACAATAACGGTTCTAATTTACTTCTGACAGATACTTGAGAAAGCCTGTCTCTTTTTTCATGCCAATAAAGTATAATTGAATTTGAAGATGTAGAAGCTGGAGCTAGAAAAGATGTATGGCATCTGTGTGCCCACCCCCTTCCTGTGCAAGTGTGCCAAGGACATAAGACATATCAGATATCAAACTGAAAAGGTATTTGATTTTTGACAAAAAGTGAGCTGAACTTTTGTGAAGTGTACATGCAATAAAAGAACAAAGCTGTAGAGGACTATGCTTCCTGTCCAATCCGATATGAAGATATTTATGTTGATAATCCTGTCATCACCAATATAAAAAAACAAGTGGAGATGACCAAACTTGCAAATTGTGCAGTGCCATTATTTTTCCAGTCTAATCAGAGGGACCAGCCTAATGGCGAAACTCCCATTGACTTTCATGGAGCAGGCTTTATCCTTCCTTAGTACTTTTTTCAATCAGGTTTAACAATATGTAAACCAAAAAAGGTACTGATGCTGAGTGGTTCTGTTGCCATCATTCGGCAAAACGTGAAATTCGTACTTGTTTTACTGATCATTTCACAAAGCTCATCAAAGTAATGTTCCCAGATTCAGTTTATGCAAAAAAGAATTTTCCAGTGAAAGAACAAAAGCTCTGCTTTCGTCTGTACTGACGTTGCACAATGTCACAAATGATACCAGAAGCTGCATAATTAATACGTGTACCTTTTAGAAGGCAAGAGTTATAAGGTCCCTTCTGACCCTCAAATCTGAGTGCTGTATTCAGCAAGGTAAAAGAAGTATCAGCCACAGGGTATAGTTTTCTACCATGCAGTTTCGTCTGTTATTCAAGCCAACAAATCATTTTTGGTTGGCTCATGAGATCAGTGGTAGAACAAAACGAAAGGAGGAATGTCACATCAGAGCTGCATGAATAATGCACGCAAATTGTCACAAATGCTCACTTGAATTTAAAAGTGACCTTGTTTTATTTGTACGCATACCACTACTGTGTTGAATTCCTGCACCTATTCCAGTAATTGAGGATTAGAGAGACAAGGTGGGTGAGGTAATATTTTTTCATTGGACCAACTTCTGTTGGTGAGAGAGACAAGCTGTCAAGCCACACAGAGCTTGTCTTCAGATTAAGGATCTCTCATAAAAATGATCATTCAAAGTAAAGAAAGCACAATCTTGAATATTCTCAACAGTGGCACATTTTATATGGGAGGTGACACTGCAGCTGGAAGGTGTAATTACAGTGCCATCAGCTTGGTTAGACTTACATGTGCTAGCTCTAATCACAATGGAGAGCAAACTGTCAGAGTCCAGATCAGGGGTGGGCAAACTTTCTGACCCGAGGGCCACATCTGGGTGGGAAAATTGTATGCAGGGCCATGAATGTAGGGCTGGGGCAGGGGGTTAGAGTGCAGGAGGGAGTGCGGGAGTGCAATGTGCAGGAAGGAGCTTGGGTGCAGGAGGAGTGCGGCAGGGGGCTGAAGGGAGTTAGGGTTCGGGTGCAGGCTCCAGTGTGGCAGCAGCGTGCAGCAGGGCTAAGGCAGGCTCCCTGCCTGCCCTGGCCCCACGCTGCTCCTGGATGTGGTCAGCATGTCCGGCAGTGGCTCCCTGGGGGTGGGAAGGGGAAGGCAGCTCCACTGCGCACTGCCCTTGCCTGCAGATACTACCCCCTGAAACTCCCATTGGCCGCAGTTCCCCGTTCCCAGCCAATAGGAACTGTGGGGGGTGGTGCCTGCATCCCCCAAGGGCCACAGGGATGTGGTGCCAGCTGCTTCTGGGAGCGGTGCAGGGCCAGGGCAGGCAGAAAGCCTGCCTTAACCCTGCTGCGCCACAGGTCTGGCAATCATGCGGGCCAGATTGAAAGCCCTGATGGGCTGAATCCATCTCCTGGGCTGTAGTTTGCCCTCCCCTGGTCTAGATACACCATGTGGATTTGAGAAGAGAATTTTGTCTTCAGTAGCTTTGCAGTTTAAAAGCAAGGTAGAGTTTAAAGTTTTGCTGTTTTTTTTAAACTAAATAGAGATGCAATGGTCTCTCTTTTTGTAACATGGTAAATGATCCAGGGGTAAACATGTATTGCTTTTTGAAGGTATTCTAACACATTTTGTGTTCGTCTGTTTGTTTGCAATGCCTTTTTTTGCTTATTGCATCCTAGGTCTTGGAATCCACAAACTCTGGTGATTAGGCTCTGCTCCCAGGATGGGTGGATCACTAGTATGAACTTCTTTATGAATCTCAATAGGTTTTAACTCTAAAGATTAATTTAATTATGACAATTTAAATAGCAACACTGTTAATTGCTGATGATACCAGAAGCATCTAGTTAATGTATTTCTCCAGTGTAACTAAGCATAGCTGTTCTACTTATTCAAACAGGAAACAAGCTGCAAATTTTGTATATGCAAATAGTCTATTGAATAATCTTAATTGGATAACTGAGAATGCACACAGGTAAATATGTGTTTTACAGTGCCATCAGCAAAATAGGTTGGACTCCCACAGTGTGGATTTTGTGTGGTTTTATCAAAGGTGACCCATGAAGAGCAGCCAAGCCAGATCAATGAATAATCTAACAAATATATCTACTGAATAAATCTATTTCAATATTACTGTCACACCTGGTATTAAAATATAAAAAGGGATCTAAGTTATTGTGAACATAGCTCTGCTCTTGTGTTTCCCAATTTCCTCACCAGGATCTTATACCCTTTGCAACCTTCCCCTTCATCTAATCTGTATTTATAGTATTGTGCTACATGCTTCATTTGAAATTTGGGTTGCCTTGTTTAAATTAGTCTGGAATCTCCTAATGGCGTGGACTTTATCTTTTTTCATGTTTTGCACAAAGGTGAGTTAATTTTTGTCGTCATATATATATATATATATATATATAACAAACAAGATAATAGAAAATGAAATCATAATAAAGTCCCCAGGGAAAGTCTTTGCAGGCTGTGCCAAAATTTTATACTGGCTTCTTTGTCCCCGACTGAAACCTAAAGAGGCCCTGATCCAGCAAAGCATTTGAGCAAATGTTTAGCATTAAGAACATAAATAACCCCATTGAATGGGACTTCTCAGATGATTACATTTAAGCACATGTTTAAGTGCTTTGCTGAATTGGACCATAATATACTTAAGGTTTTGTCTGCACAAACTTGCACTGGTCTAACTAAAGGTGTACTTTTAAGTCCATTTATTAAACTGGAACAAGATTGTGTCTGGACACACTACTTTCAGGTTGAGTGGTTTACTTCAATTTGACTTCATCGCTTTTTTATAGGATTTAATTAAGACACTCTTAAAATTAAATTAGTATGTCTTGACCCAATCTTTCACCAGTTTAATAAAACAAATTTAGTTAAAACAGTAAGTTTGTAGTAGAGAAAGTCTTCTTTAGACACATTTTCAAAGAGGCCTCTAAAACGGCAGGGGCCCTTTTCACATTTAAATCTTTGTCACACTCAAACCCCAATTTGTGAGCAAATCTATTCCTTAGGTTTGGCTCATGCAAATTCAGTTTGAGCTCACTAGTCTGAGTTGCTGCACCCAAAAATCTAGATGTGAAAATTTTAGAGGCAAGATTGAAGCTCATTTGACAATGTCTGTAAAATGCCACATGCAAATAATTAAAAATAATAATAATTTTGGCCCATAAACTAATCTGCTGTTATAATGTTATATATATCAGGTTTCAGAGGAACAGCCGTGTTAGTCTGTATTCGCAAAAAGAAAAGGAGTACTTGTGGCACCTTAGAGACTAACCAATTTATTTGAGCATGAGCTTTCGTGAGCTACAGCTCACTTCATCAGATGTATACCGTGGAAATACCTTGGAAATATATATATCGTAAGTGCTGTGAACTTTTGCCAAGGTGACATTACACAGAAATAAATTCAGTTGCAACATCTTCTTAGAAAGGCGGAAGTATGTCTGAACTCTGAGGAATTTTTTTTTAAATTGTGTTTATTCTGAACATGATTGCTCTTGTTCCGTTTTTTTAATGGGGTGGGGGGCAAAGAGGGAAAATTGGCTCACTGTCTCTTACGATGACTCAGACCTTCAACAGGAAGCTCTGACTAGACCCTGCTGAGCTCAGCCATAGGAGGTCATAATTGCTTTGTTTTAGAAGCTTAATTGCTCTTTGTTTAACCAAATAATAAATATTTGCCAGGCAGCTCCCAGCCCGAAAGCACGCTAGACATTTAAAAATGTCACTGTTTATTTATTGGTATTCGCTGATTAGATAGATCATCAAGGAAAGAATTCAGATACTCCAACAACTCAGAGTCCAGTATCACCAACACCAAACCTTCTCAAACTCTTAACTGCTTCCTCCTCTCTCCACAACAGAAATACAATGAAACATGTAAGACTTGCAGATTAGCTGTCATTGTAGCCTGCATTTGCATCAGGAAACAATTTATGTGTTTAATATGAACAATATCAGAGGAATATGACATTAAATTCATTAGAAGAGGTAAATTTTCCCCAGTAAATTTAGGGGAATAAACTTCACTGGGTACAAGACACCTTTATACGAGGGCTGTCAATTAATTGCAGTTAACTCATGCGATTAACTCAACAAAATGTATTGTGATTAATCACACCATTAAACAATAGAATACCAATTGAAATGTATTAAATATTTTTGGATGTTTTTCTACATTTTCAAATGTATTGA